TAAGTGTATCATAAGAAATTCTGAGCTGACATAATCAATATATACTTTCCTGTATTTGCAACTTCTTTATACATGATTCTTTTCTTTTTGGTGTTTTGGGCTTTCGCACTTATCAACAAAAAAGCTCAATATGATCCACATCATTAACTTTGTTTCTGAAGCACCAATCTTTCACCTTAGTGATCAGTTAACAAAGATATCGAGCCTTGTAAAATGCAACATACACTTTTGAAGTTCTGTGTTAAATATAAAAAAGAGTTTCACACTCCTTATCATTAGACAAAATGTATGGAACAATGCTTATGCCCTCTAGTTTGGTGTGTGTAGAGTGTGTGTGGGTGTTTGGGTTCTTGTCCCGTATTTTCTTCTTAATATAATGAAGCGCAGCGCTCCTGCGTTTTCGAGAAAAAATGCTTATACTCTCTAGTTTTGTCACAAGTCAAACTTCTCTAACTTCAACAAAGGTTCTAGAAAATATATCAACATCTAGAATACCAAATAAATGCAATATCAAGATATATTTGATTGGTGGATTTAGTGAAACTAATTTGATGTTGTATATATTCGTGCATTTTTCTATAAACTTGGTCAAAGTAAAGAGAAGCTTGAGTTAGGACAAAACTAAAATGACCTACATCTTGAAACGGTGGGAGTATTGGTCAATATTTTGTGGCTATCTATCTGAGTGTGTTTCAGAAACAAAATTATTTTATGTTGAGTTGAAAAATTAATATTTTGTTTCAAGTATTTCTAACCCTTACAAATGGAACAGATCAAAGTTCTCCATGGCCACAATTTGTTGTAAAATCTTCTGTGAACCAAAGCTATCTTGAAAAATCAGGACCAGGTATAACCTGGCATTTTTAACTTGAGTAGTAATCTATCTCTTCAGGGTACATTTAGTTAATGTGGTAATGCATTCTTTTTTAACGAGCTGCAGTTTCAAACAGCTTGGTATTTTTTTTCAATGTTTTATTATTTTTAAAAATGGCAGTCTGTTAATATATTGAATGATGTACATATTGACATATTTTATTGTTCTTACATCCTTCACTTTTATTCCAGGTTGTTCGTTTAGCCTCCTTTCAGCACTCTCCATCGATACCACCATTTATAGTGCCAAAGCAATCCAAGTTCGATGGAGATGATTCAGTGTTTCAGAAAGAACTGGATGGCAGAAGATATGCTGAAGTTGCTGTTGCTGGAGGAGGGGTGTCTGTTGCAGTAACTCGCTTCCCTCCTGAACAGAAGAGACCTATTGGACCTCTTGTTGTGGTTGGTGTAAGAGATGGAGTTCTCTGGCTTGTTGACAGGTAACGTATACTCTCCTTATCATCTCATTTCTTTATTAAAAGAGCAAGAGCAGTTCCTTAATGCACAATGAAATGCCGCGGAATTAAATTTTGTTCAAACAACTTACATTGTTACCTTTTGTTACTCTTTGATATGCTTACCTGGATGTAACTATGAAATATTCCATGTACCTTGCAGGTATATGTGTGCACATGCCTTGTCACTCAGCCATCCTGGTATAAGATGCCGTTGCCTTGCAGCATATGGGGACCCTGTTAGTGCTGTGAAATGGTATGTTTGTGGAGCATTGCCTCTTTCTGTGTTTAGGACCTGAGAAGAAGAATCACATATATACCCATTATGCAGGGCAACGAGACTTGGCCGAGAGCATCACGATGACCTGGCTCAGTTTATGCTGGGTATGGGCTATGCCACTGAAGCTCTTCATTTGCCTGGAATATCTAAGAGGTAAGACCGTAAGACCTTTGTTTTTGCCTATTTGAGCTGTGTTTTATATGACGTAACATGCTAGGACATCTGGACATGTCTTGAGTTAACTTCACTCTCAAAGTAATGTCTTGAGTTAACTGAACTCTCAAAGTTAGGATATCAAGAATTATTGGACATATTCTGTTTTTTTTCTTTATTTGAATTCGTGATGATACCCCGCAGGCTGGAGTTTGACCTTGCAATGCAGAGCAATGACCTGAAAAGAGCACTTGCTTGTCTATTGACAATGAGCAATAGCCGAGATGTGGGACAAGAAACAGCTGCCGCTGATGCCACTGACGTTACACAGATTCTTAATTTGGCGGTAGCTAAGCAAGCTAAGCAGGAAAGTCTTGCAGATGCCGTGCAAGGAATAGTGAAATTTGTCAAGGAGTTTTTTGACCTTATTGATGCAGCAGATGCCACTGGGCAATCTGACATTGCTCGTGAAGTTTTAAAGAGATTAGCGGCTGCAGCTTCTGTAAAGGGTGCCCTCCATGGACAGATGCTGCGAGGCCTGGCACTCCGTCTTGCAAACCATGGGGAGCTTACTAGATTGTCGGTATGTTTGACCACAAATTTATGGCTAATAATTTACATTGAAAAACTTGAGATTCTTATCCATGATGAGTATTGGTGATTAAAAAGTTCTAATTTTCATTCATAATAGCACATTAGCACCAATGTCTGGTACTACCTCTGTCCCGAGAATGATGCAATTCTAGTTCTGCCCTTAGTCAAACTATCTGAAGTTTGACCAGGTTTGTAGAAAAAATTATCAATATTGGTGACACCAGATAGGTGTATTATGAAAACTATTCCATGAGGAATTTGATATCATAAATATTGATCTTTTTTTGTATAAATTTGGTCAAACTCAAGATGGTTGGACTCGGTACTATGCTAGAATTGTATTCTTTTCCAGACGGAGGGAGTAGAAAAATGTTATTATATAGTTGAGAGCTTTTCTTGTGCAGCTTTATGGGACTGTGTATGTTGCCTTTTCTGTTTTGGTGTTGGATTGTGCCTTTTCTTTTGATATTGCAATGCTGGGAGACACTGCCATGCTCATACCCATGTATGAGGGAACATGGACCCAAGCACATGCTTAGAATCTCATGGGGACTATGTCTAAGTCTAACTTCACCTGTTGGAAATGCAATACATTGTTCTCTGAATTACCACAAATTCATAGGAATAACCACTAACACCAGTTTACTTGCCCAGGGTTTGGTAAGCAATTTGATCACAGCTGGCCATGGACGCGAAGCAGCATTTGCTGCTGCAGTTCTGGGAGATAATGCCCTAATGGAGAAAGCATGGCAGGACACAGGAATGTTGGCTGAGGCTGTTTTACATGCTCAAGTAAGTTCTTTGTTTAATTGAATTCTCTCATGCTCAATCCTACTTAATGAGCTGCAAACCATTATGGTTTTGCGGAACAACATTTTTTTTGTCTTTCCATTTTCTTCCATACTTCCATTGCTGTCATTGTATTATCCACTTTTTTTATTTATTTAGCTGAAATTATCCACACTTTGTATGATTTTGATATGCTCACTAGCCTAATAAACTCTCTAGGCCCATGGTCGTCCATCATTAAGGAACTTGGTTATAACATGGAACAAGATGCTACAGAAGGAACTGGATCACACACCAACTGTAAAAACCGATGCCGCCGCAGCATTCTTGGCTTCTCTTGAGGATCCAAAGCTCACAGGCCTGGGGGAAACTGAGAAAAAGCCTCCCATTGAAATACTTCCTCCTGGGATGCCTCCCCTATCTGCACCTCCAATCGTGATTAAAAAGGCCGGAGCAAAACCTGGCCTCCCTAATGCAGCAAAGGCCTCAAATGGGCCTATAGGTGCTCCGATGGTTCAAGGTGCTCCCATGGCTCAAGGTACTCCTGGGGCACAAGGAGTCCCCATGAATCAAGTTACTCCATCGCAGGGCAGCGACGAGGCAAAGCCATCAGATGCTACAGTGGCTGATGCAGCTGCCGCGACTTCAGAAGGCACTGCAGCTGCCCCAGCTGCAGAAGGTACAGCAGCTCCCAGCAGTGAGGAAGCTAAAGCAGCACCTGGCAATGAGGGAGGCACATCACATCCAGTCAACGAGGAAGCCACAGCCACAGCAGCTGCAGTTTCAGATGCAGCAGGCAGCCCTGATGCTCTGGCTCCGGCTGCTCCTGCTCATGCGGTTGATACCAGTAGCTCGGATGCACCTGCTGTTACTCCCAGTGAAGTTACCGTCTCTGCCCTCTCAACCGAGGCACCCGAGTTGACGGATAAGCCATCTTCAACAGAGGCATCGTTGCCACCTCCACCCACTGTTTCTGGTGTATAAATATTTTTTATTCTTTTAGCAGTGTGCCAATTTTTTGTATGCTGGTGCGTTCGTTCCACTGTAATTTTCCCCCCAATACTGGTATGGGTATTTGTTGTCCATGGTATTCAGATTTCGTAGACGCCAGGCAGTATGTGAGTAGCCTTGTACATCTGCTGTCTGCGTCTCACGAGGACGTGCTACCATTGTGTCATTGTGTGGGCATAGCTTATGTTGTTTGTGACCAATCGATAGGACCACAGTTCAATTTTTGCTTGATGAGTTAATCGAGCTGCATCATCGATATCCTTCTTGCCTTGCACGACCGATTCGTCTCGCCGATTTGACGCAAGTGCTGAGATTTGCAAAATGTCTTGCTGGGTCATCTAACTTGAGAATCTGTGCGTACCGAAGGCTCCATGTCGGCCCTGTCCGGTCAATCTCATTGGTCGAGGCGTGTCAAAAGCCAAGTAGGCAACAGCAAGGTGACAACTATTCTGACTAGCGAATAGGACGGCAGCCCCTGGACCGGACGAACCGGTAGGTGTTGCTGACTTTGGCATGGGGAGATATGTGGCGCAACAGCAGCCGCGGCGCGGTGCAGCTTCCATGTCCTACCCTCTTCACTCTCCGGTCAGCTGTCACGTATCTACCACCGTACGGTCGCCGCTCGTGCCGCCGTGAAGCAGCTCCCGTTGACGGAGGATTTCGTGGCTGCACGTCTCATCCGGCTCAAGAGTTTTTTAGGCGATATCGGCTTTGATCTTTTATCATCTGTGACCGAACTCCTGACCGGCTATAAGAAGACGCAGATCGCCGCTCGGGCTTTTGCGTCTGGCGTTGATTGCTCTCCACAACGTGAAAAGAAACCCTGTGTTCCGAGGTTTCCTTCCATGTCGACGAGAGGGGACGAGGCGAGGCAGGCGACGGTGAAGATCATCGAGACGGTGCACGTGGAGGCGGACCGGTATAGCTTCAAGTCGATCGTCCAGAGGCTCACCGGCAGGGATGCGGTGGTCGGCGACTATTCGGAAGGGCCCGAGCGTAGATCAAAATCAAATGAAGAGGCGGCTCAGCGGGCTGCTGGGCATGTGAGCAACCAAGCGAGCAAGCCCATCGCTGATCGCCACTCGTGCAAAGACGAGAGCTGTTGATGGCCATCTGTATATTTTTTGTTTTTTTTTCAAACTTTGTAGGAGCACTGCATATCATTTAAGGCCCCGTTTAGTTCCCTCCAAAAGCCAAAATTTTTTACGCAGTAAGTGTCACATCGAATCTTGCGGCACATGCATGGAGTACTAAATGTAGGCGAAAAAAAAACTAATTGCACAGTTGAGTGAGAAATCGCGAGACGAAACTTTCGAACATAATTAGTCCATAATTAGACACTAATTACCAAATACAAACGAAAGTGCTACAGTACCCAAAAACCAAAAATTTTCGGATCTAAACGCGCCATAAGCAGAAGGAAGAAGAGAGAACGGGTTAGTACATCGTGTTATTACAACATTACATTAGATACTAAGATCACTATCACAGAAACCAAGATCTCCATTAGCTAAATCCATGGATGCAAGGCTGCCCACAAGCAACTCTAGCCATTTCTTCTTTGGCAAGATTAAAAACCAGCATCGACGAGTTTAGTTTGTCTTGAAGATTCTTCTGTTTCTCTCGTTCCAGATGTTCCAAGCCGTATATACAAGCAGCGCCGCAATTGTTCTCTTTTGTCTTGCATTGTGGAAGCCAAACCACGGTCTTCTATTGTTATATCTTCGAGCTGAGACAACCGAATCTCCTGACCTGCCCAGTTTGTGAAATGCATCCAAACCTCCTTCGTCATCTGTATTTACAGGCGAACCAATGATCGATCGCCTCTGTATTAATGTATAACATGTTTTTCTTACACGAATATGAAACATGTGCAAATTTGTCTATTTTCCAATTTCTTTGACACATCCATCCAAAAATCCAAAAGAAATCGACATTTTGACTTTTGATATCACAAAGGTTTCTTGTGAGCAAAGTCCAAACTCCGAAGAAAACATTTTGAGGATTAAGCATGGAATTCACAGACACTTACTGTTACTGCAAGCTGCAAGTCTGCAACTGACCGAAGGCTCTGTTCGCTTCGCTGAAAAGTCAGACTAAAAAGTATTGTTCGCTGATTTGTTGTGAGAGAAAAATATTGTATCGCTGATTTATCGTTAGAGAAAAATATTATACCATAACTGATAAGTTGAAGCGAACAAATCGAACAAATCGTACGGTACTTTCTGAAATGGATGCGGTAAAGGCGTGTATCGTAGAGCAAGAAGCCATTCTAGCATCCCTGCAAGTCAATCCCGAGACATCCCTGGAAGTCGGCCATTATAGCATGCGGCAGGTCAACGCAGTTGTACTGTTTGGTTGCTTGCCACGTAAGCATTCAATTCATCAGCAGCCTGTTCGTTCGGCTGAAACGATCGTGGATTGGTTACTTTTATACTAGGTTTGTATCCCAGCTAAACTTTTGGCGTAAAAAAAAATACTATTTTAACTTATAATCTATACGATCGTTTTAACATTTAATCCAAAAAACTAAGTTAAGTGAAATTTACACAATAACGCTAGTTTTTCCACTCAAACGTACACTTTATCCTCTATCCGTGTGTTTGCAATTTGCAAAGCATTTGGTAGTACGCCAACAAATATAATAAGTCCACCACGTGTCAACCCAGCTAAACTTTTGTACTTAAAAAACACACGGATCTAAGTCAACACATAAGCATGGCATATCATGATAAGATAACAATCAAGGTGTTGCATACATTGTTAACTAAAATGGTGATTTAGAAAGTATATGGCCAATGCGTTAAAGTGATATTTAATCAAAAAGCTAAGTTCATGGAACATGAAATTTACTTGATTCATATACACATGTGTGAAGCATAAAACAAAAATAGAAAAGAAAAAGATGAGAGCGTGGCGTCGCAGGCTCAAACTCTACTGTGTAGATCTTTTCGTGATGCGGCTAAGATCATGTTTTATACCGGTAGGAAAAGATTTCCGATATCCATTTCTTTCATACGCTAACAAATCCACGAATAAGTTCCACCACATCTTCATACCATCAACGCCCCGCCGCCACCTTGTGGCTACCCCTGCACACTCGAGCCAAGAGAGAGAGCCAAGAGAGGAAGAAGGAAAGGAGTGGGAGAAGAAGGAGCGCCTGACGTCGCCAGAGTTGCCGCAATGACGGAGGCGGCAAGCAAATTAGCCACAACTTATGTAATTAGTTTTATAATTAGCTCATGTTTAGTCCTCCTAATTGATATCTAAAAATTTAATGTGACAGGGACTAAAGTTTAGTCCTAGGATCCAAACACCCCATAACTCTCGACTCCTGCTGGCTGCTCACTTGCACCACCATACCTATGTGTCTGCACGTATATACTTTAATGCTAGAACATCTAAGATGATCTTTATTGTCCACCCTTTAAAAATATGATAACTTTAAGGTTGCCATTTATGTATGCTGTAGTATTGGGATGTTTTGCACTGATCCATGAGAGTGTTCATAAGAGTTGAAATTTTTGATGCCATTATGATGTCTAAGCTTACCAATCAGATAGAGACGAACTTGATTGTTAAAATATTTTCAACACTGCTTTCATATACTCCCTCTGTCTCAACATAGAATTCATTCTCGCTTTCCGAGAAGTCAGTTTTTTTTAACTTCGACCAATTATATATAAAAGAATATTAATATTTATAATATATAATTAGTATCATTACACAGACCATTGAATATATTTTCATAATAACTTATTTGGAGATATAAATGTTGCACGTATTTTTTACAAACCTAATCAAAGTTGAAAAAGTTTGACCTGCACGCATCCTATAACGACTTATATTTTGGGACGGAGAAAGTATATGCTAATGAGAGTAGTCAATTGGAAGTCATGATGAACACAACAATACTTTCATATTATATGCTAATAGAAGCACGAAAAAACGTAGGGGAATGGACCTATATATTAATGGTGGGAATATTCGTTTAGGAAATTGCAGTCTCACCATGTATAACCTACACATCTTTTATTTGGCACCACTAATGTTCTCAAGGAGCAGTCACTTTTTAATTTCAGGTCTGCATGCTGAAAACACTAAAATTAAGGGCCAACCTCATTGAGTCGTCTTGCTTGAGCTTTGCCAATTGTCTTGCTTGAGCTTGGCCAATAAATTATACCATTGGCAAAGACTAACATATAAAGAGGTAGAAGTTACAAGAATAAAGCTAGGTGGCCTATTATGCACCCAGCCTAAATTTAATACCCTCTAAATTATGGACAATACCATATGAACTGTTGTAACTGACATGTTAACTCCATCATGTAGTACACCTAAGTATTGAACATGCACATGCATAGTTTTTTTTATCATAGAATATAATTTTGTCCTATGAGAACATAATTTTTTTTCTAAGTGACTAAAAATTTAATGTGACAGGGAGAGAGCCCAAAATATTAGATGCTCACTTGCAAACTCTCATTTTACTATCTAAGATGCATCCACCATTTAAAAATATCATAAAAATTTTTAACTGAAATTTAGTTAATCCATGGAATAATTTGGATTGTGCCTTGATTTGTACTGCCCTCAACAATTCTTTTTACCAAGAATATATATAAAATCTAGTTAACAATTGAATATACATTAGACTTATTTGGAGATATAAATCAAAATTCATTACCTTGGTATCGAGGATCATAATACGTAAGGTTTGCTAATGAGAGTGCTTGAGATTTAACACTTTCATATTATATGCTAATGGAAACGAAAAAACATAGGAAATGGACCTATATACGTGACACCATGTATTCCATATCCGTCACCGTTACTTTTTTTCGCTAAAATTAAGAGCCAACCTCATTAAGTCGTCTTTTGAGCTCTTGCAAAGTCTTTGCTTTACCAACAAAGTACCATTGGCAAAGACTAGATAAACACTAGAAGTTAAAGAATAAAGCTAGTTTGCCAACACTATAGATGTAAATGGTGTAATACCATATGTTTGTCGAGTGTTAACTACATCATGTAGTACACCTAAATTGAACATGCACATGCATAGAATATATTTTTAGTCCTATGAGAACATAATTTTTTTTTTTTGACTTGAGAGAGCCCAAAATATTGGCGTGGCACTACGGCAAAGCTAAAAATTTAACTAAAATTTAGTTTCCCGAATAATGGTAGTGACATTGTATAGCACAATTTTTACCAAGAATATATAAAATCTAGTTAACAACATTCGATCCACGATCAAAATTCATTACCCGAGGATCATAATTGTATAATTGTGCGAGAAAAGTAAATTTGGCATTCTACATGCTATTGAGACATATCTTTGGCTTAACTTTGTAGATGTCGTGGTGTCGTTTGCGAGGTTTGCTTGCCAGGGCTTTCTCCCACATAAATTCTTCAACAAGCTAAGGTGAGAAAAGTAAAGCATTCTACCTATTTGACATATCATAATTTGAAAAAGCTTTGCAACATTTACACACACAAAAAACAATTATCCTATTGAAACTAACAAATTGCAAAATCTTGTGTTGAATTCTGTTGAATTACTCCATAAAAATCTCGCACTGTGCTCTTGGATTGGTGCATATCAATGAAGATCTCTTCCCATGTCGCTTAGAAAGACAATCTATAGACTACACCAATAAACAAAAAATCCACAACTTAGAGATTCTGTTTTTTCTTGTTTTCAAACAAGTATATTTAGTCCAATCATCTATGACTATTAGGACCTGTGATGTTCCAAACTTTTCAACTACCACTATTGTTCTAGTTCCAGCCCTGCTTATTAGCTGTGAAAAGTTCTGAAGGTCTACTCTTCAGAAAACTACAAATATGATAAAAAATGCAGATTGCAACTGATATCTAGATGTGTCAACTCTTAGTGCCACAAATATTGCTTAAGTTTCATCAACATGCTATAATTTTCTTGTGTGAAGCTGACGATTTAGTTTTGCTATACTTCACTTTGCATAGCACTATGTTCCCTCCTCCCTCCCTCTCTCTCTCGTGTTAGAAACTTAAACTGCAATATGCGTAACTAAAGGTTTAGGTGCCTCTACTGGATCAATTATTGTTGGTTGAAAGGCTTTCA